CATTCTGCAAATTCAGATCAAGTACCTGATGTTGCTAGAGATTGTGGCTCCCTAGAGGTTATGACATCCCTTCCTCAGTTCTCTGAAGAGATCACCCACACGTTCATTTCAGTTCCTTGGGGTTGTGCCCATGTAAAAATGCATACAGCACAGTGAATGTGCAGGGAAAAGTTCCCTCCCTGCACCATTTCTCCGCGCACCCCCCCAAGCAGCGCTATTTCTATTTATTTATTTATTGCAGTACCAGGGATTGAACTCAGGGCCTTATGCTTGCCAGGCAAGCGCTTTTTTTTGTTTTTTTTTGAGAACCGGGAATTGAACTCAGGCCCTTGCGCTTGCCAGGCAAGTGCTTGTTCTACTGAGCCATCTCCCCAGCCCCCGGCAAGCGCTTATTCTGCTGAGCTATCTCCCTGGCCCAAGCAGTACTATTTCTTTGTCTCTCCTTCCAGGAGTAATCTTTGCATATATTGTATATAAACACATACACACATGTACATATAGACATGCGTGTATCACAATTCATATATTTTAAGTTCTTTGACCTAATGTTCTCAGACCGTGCTCCCTTCCTTTGAGTACTCCAGAGGTCAAACTGTGACCTCCAGGTGCTCCAGCTGTTCTGCTTGCCCTGCTGTGTAAGAGACCAATGGTGCCTATTTCCCCAGGGAACTCAGTGGGCTACTTTCTGGACGGCAGGTCTTAGACCCTCATCTGTTCCTTATTGAGCTTTTCTCAGATCGTTTCTATGGCTGGAAGGCTTTTTGGCTGCCTGCAGAAAAGCTTGGACTGTGTCTGATATGAAAGAATGGTTCCTTTGCCTCCGTCTCCCGGCCTGTGAGCTGACACCCAGCACGGGGCTCCATGCCTTGTTTCATGCTGAGGCATGGTGGGGCATACCTGTGATCCTGGCACTTAGGAAGGAGGCTAAGGCATGAGGATTGCTGTGAGTTCAAGGCCAGCCTAGGCTCCAAAATAAGTTCAAGGCCAGCTTGAGCAGTACAGCAAGACCCTGAGTCAAAAAGACAAAAACAAACACAAAGAAACAAAGAAACCCAGAAAAACTGAGGCTCTGGTGGGTGAACCTCACTCATGCTGGGAGCTTCTCTCTCTTTTTTTTTTTTTTTTGTGATACCAGGGATTGAACTCAGGACCTTGCCCTTGCCAGGCAAGTGCTTATTCTACTGAGCCCTAGCCCATGCTGGGAGCTTCTCATGAGGTTGCCTACAGCAATTTGGTCAGGGAGCTCAGATTCTTTCTTTTTTTTTTTTTTTTTCCTTTGGAACTGGGGATTAAACTCAGGACCTTGTCCTTGCCAGGCAGGCGCTTATGCTGCTGAGGTATAGCCCCAGCCCTAGGTAGAGCTCTGACAGGGAAGAATGTCCATGGCACAGAGACACCATAACACACATGGGCATCAGGGGGCATCTGGAAGACTTCACTCCTAGTTTTTAGGTTGAGCCTCGGAGATGTGGCTGGGGGGACTCATGGTCCCCAGATGCCAGCAAGTCAAGCTGCAGGGCTGGGCCATCCTGGCCTTCAGAGCCTGGGGCCCTGGAACCTTGGCTTGGTTGACAGAGTGTGATAATGAAGCAAAGCCAAGGTTGGGGTGAGCAGGGAGGATGTGGGGGTGTCCAGCAAGAGGAAGAGTTTATTTGCTCCCTGGCACAAGATCTTGTTGACTGGTTCTTTGCTCTGTTGTGACCTCCAGGTTTTCAGCCAGGCATGGTGTTCAGGAAGGCGGGCAGGAAGGACTGCGCACTGTTGTGCTGGTGTTTGGTGTTGAGCAGGCCCCAGCACTCCCTTCCCCTTCACATCCACCTGCACGAGCTTCAGACTCCAGATAGAGGGGGAGGGAGCCGCCTTCTTCCAGCTTTGTGCCTTCGCCTTCACTCTAGCTGTTCCCTCCCTGAATGTCCTCTTCTAAGCCCTGCCTCTCAGGACCTAGTCCCCTGCCTTGCTTCTGGGAGGCCTGCGTGGATCCCCCCAGCTAGCTAGAGCCTGTGATTCCCCTTCCCCCATGCCTTGACCACTTTAGGTCTAGGGTACAGCTCAGTGGTAGAGCACATGTGCAAGGTCCCAGCTCTGAGTCTCATCGCCTGAACAAAATAATTATGAGCTGATGCACTTTATGTGAGTAGTATAACTTATGTACGTGAAGGAGATTGTCAGCTCTTGGGGGGAGACACTTGGCTCTTTCTTGATCCTGAGACACACACACACACACACACACACACGGCTCTTTCTTGATCCACACACACGCGCGCGCGCACACACACACGTCCGCCCGCCTGGTGGGTTCTGGAGAAAAGCGGATACTCCCTCATGAAGTTCTTCAGCAGGACGATACACAGAAGCCCTGTTTTTAGATAGTCCCTCTCATCGTGGGTTCTGGGACACCGACAGTGTATGGGGCTCTGTCCCATGCTGGGAGCTCCTGGATTGGCTGTGGAGGCATTGTGGGCCTTGAGGTTAGGCGGTTCCAGGGCTGGCAGCCTATGGTGCTGCCCCCATGGAGCCTGGCATGACCCTGTTTTCTTCTCTGACTCTGCAGCTTGATGACCTGTACTTGATTGCCATCTGCCATCGCCGGGGAATTCGGTCGCTTCGGGACCTCACTCCAGAGCACCTGCCGCTGCTCAGGAACATCCTCCGGGAAGGGCAGGTGAGTGGCTCTCCAAACCACAGGGAAGCTAGAGGCTACACTCGGATTCTGCTGTGCTCCTTACCCTCCCCAGAGTGTCCTGGGAATGGCTGTGCCGGCCTCGAACCTTGATAAGGCTTGTTAGATTGAGTCACGGGCCCATGTCCACTGGTCCTGCTTGATCCTGCAGCCTGTTTTCAGCCATCTGTTCTAGCTGCCTGCCTTCCTCTGAAGGTCCCATCTGAGACGCCCCCACCCAGTGGGCCAGTGGTGGCAAACCTATGGCGTGCATGCTGCAGCAGACTGGTGGTGTCATTGAAAGCTCTAAAGGGTTCCCCACCACTGCTGTAGATGCATGTCATCAAGTCCTGGCCCCTTGTACCCCTATAGCTCTACCCCCGAGGATTGCCTGCCCTGCTCTTGACAGCCACCTGGCGCAGGATGGCTCTTGCACTGTGGGCGCCTAACTGAGACGTGTGTACACATGTGCCTCCTCATCTAGGTGGAGCCCAGGCAGAATCACCTGGCTTTTGGGATGCCCCCTGTCTGGGGCATCTGCTGGATGAAATTAAATTATAAGGGGCCCCCAAAAGAGCCCTGGGAATAGGGAAGACAACAGGAGAGTGATTAGAGTCTTGGATTGTGGTCCCAGCCTGACATTTTTGCTAATGGGCCTAGGGCAGGTCAGTTCACCTCTGTGGACTTCTGTGTTTCATTGGGATCCCTTCTGAGTCCACCATGTCTACTCTGAAACATGAACATGCGCTCCAGTCTTGTGCTGTGGGCCAATAGGCACAAGGATGACCCATCAGGAGAGAGCTCTGCCCCTTTCTGGCCCCAGCCTGCCAATGTCACCGTCTCTGCTACCTTCATCTCTTGGAAGCAACTTGTGTGGCGAAGTAGCCTCTGGGTCCTTGTGATGCTGTCTTCCTCTCAGCGACGCTGGGCCCATGTGTCTGTGCTTGGGTAGCTTCATGCAATCCCAGGATGCCCTCCGTGTGCACTGGCCCCGATCTCGCCCTGCGCAGTGATCCCAGGGTGAGCTCTGCGGGCAAATACAGCTCCAAGGTGCACTCAGAGCTCACTGCAGCCCTGTTCTTTTTAGCTTCACTTGTGGCCTCCTTAGGGATCAGATATCAGGGAGATCAGGGTCTCTGCTTAATGCTGAGATGCTCTGGGGGCTCCTGAAGAGCTCGTCCTGAGCAGGGTGGAGTGGACAAAGGAAAGTGGGGCCAAAGCAAATGTCTCCTTGTCTCTCAAGGAGGCCAGCTGAGGTCTGTTGGAAGCAGCCCTTCAGCACCCCCTCACTCAGCCCTCTTTTTTTTTTTTTTTTTTTTGTACCAAGCATTGACCTCAGGACCTTGCACTTGCCAGGCAGGCCCTTATGCCACCGAGCCTTGTCACCAGCCCCATCCTTTATCTTTGCCATGTTCCTAGCACACCTCCATCCCTACTATTTCTAAGCCTCATTCCAAGAGAAAGCCAGCCTTCTTCCCACCCACCTTGTGATTTACCAAGTACTCCTAAGTTGTCCAGAGAAAGGACTGTCCCCCAATCTCAGGAATCTGGGCTTGCCCATAGGCACTGGGAAGGACTAAGCTTCCCACAGGAAGCCGGTGTTTGATCCAGGCTGACAGAAGGAACCCCACGGAGGCCATCTCCCCTTCCCCTGGGGGAATGTTCCCACTTTGATGTTTCACACACGGTTGTTGATCTCTTCAAGGGAAGACAAGGGATCCAAAACAGTGGGTCTCTAACTGTCTTGGGCCAACCTGGGTTAGACGGAAGGTGACCAAGTGAAGGCATGGCACTAGCTTGCCAGCAGCATGATGACCCTTTTCTGCCACTGCCTGTCCTCACCAGGAAGCCATCCTACAGCGCTACCAGATGCCGGGAGACCGCCTCCGCGTATACCTGCACTACCTGCCGTCCTACTACCACCTGCATGTGCACTTCACTGCCCTGGGCTTCGAGGCCCCTGGCTCGGGTGTGGAGCGAGCCCACCTGCTGGCCGAGGTGATCGAGAACCTGGAGTGTGACCCTAGGCACTACCAACGGCGCACTCTCACCTTTGCCCTCAGGGCAGCTGACCCCCTGCTCAGGCTCCTGCAGGAGGCCCAGAGACCCTGAGTGTGTGTGGAGAGAAGGCACAGATGTACAGCCTTTGGGGAAGTAGGGGGCTCGGTTTTTATCTCCAACATAGTTTTTAAAAAATATATTTTGTACTGACTTGTTCCTCATATGTCAATAAAGTACTGGGCTCTTGGATGAGGACTGTACACCTGCTTGGGGAGGTGGGCAGAGCTGGTGGAGATCTGGGGAGGTAAGGAGGGTCTCAGGGTGCAGCCACCGGTGAGGAGTGACAGCCACTCCAGGGGGATGCTGAGGGCTCTGTCACGTGCCTGTGCTCTCCAGGTCTGTTGGTTTCCCACCTGAGTTTGTGCTGCCCTGTTTGCACCCCTGCTCCACATTCCTTCCCACCCCAGCTTTCGGGAAGTGCCCCCAAAACCAAATGTGAGGCCTTTGTGGAAGTGGCCCACAGAGGTTTTAGATGACACTTCTTCCGTCTCCCAGGAAGAGGCCACACCCTGTGTGTGCATCAATTCCTAATAAATTCTTTGAGGAGGATGGGGATTGATATGTGGAAGTGGGAGATTTTGAAAGACTCAGATGATGCAAGGCGCAGATGCCTGCCTTTGCCTCTTGTTTAGTCAGCTTGGCCTTGACGTCATTATCTAGGCAGGAAGGGCAACCACACATGGAGCAGCCAGAAGATAAATGCAAAACAGCGTTATCAGCAAGGGCAAGGGAAACAGTTTCCAGTTGAGCACAGCAGCTCTGAGGGTGTTGGGGCTCAGAGGTGGTCAGCTCCATGTCTCGAGGCCAGAAGGCACCCGGAGCCCAGTGACCAGAAGTGGCGCTGATGGGCATGTCTGGGAAGGGCGTCCCCCAAGGGTTTTTGCTCCAGCACACAGCACAGTGGTGGCATCACCCTGGCAGACAGGGCCAGCATTTGCTGCTTTGTCAGGGAAGGGATGAGGAAAACGTGCCCAACTTAGGGAGCTGTCTCGGAGGAGACCCCACATCGGCTCTGAAGTGACAGCCTAAGGGAAGTGGGAGGCCACCGGTGGGGTGGCTGTCACTGCGTGTGCTGCCGCTAGAACCAGGATGGCTGGACTCGGAGCCCAAGTCCCTTGCTTACGGTTGAGGCCCTCGGATGGTGGCCCTGCTGTGGCACCTGCTGTAGCCCCACACTGCCTACTGTGGAAAGCCACAGTTGAGCCGGTGGCCCTGGAAAGAGCAAAGCAGTGGTGCAGATGGTCAGAAAGCCCCTGCGACCTGCTGTAGCCCTCAGCAAGTGCAAGTGAGGCAGGACGAGGCGACAGGTCCTTAAGTCCAGCCTTCCTGCAGCTTTTCAGTAGTCCCAGGATTTAGGTCACGAGAGCTGCAGTAAGGGCATCGTCTCAGGAGGTGATCATGGCAGGTGGGTCTCTCCGGGATGCAGTTGGCCAGATCTACTTATTCATGGCTCGCTGGACCACAAGGAAAACCTGTGGGCCGCGCAGACCACTGTGGGTGCTGGGGCAGGAGGCTGACCTGAGGTCTTCTCCAGGGCTTTTTCCAGCTGGCAGGCTGCTCGCTCGGTCTCGGTGGTTCCCCTTCTGTGCACCAAGGGAGGGAAATGATGTTTCCCCTCAGATGGTCTCAAGAAGCTCCAGCTCCTTTTTCAAGCAGTCTAAAGGCGCTGAGTGCAACCTCCCTGTGGAACATACTTAGGGAGATGCTACCCCATCTCCTGTCCCCACCCCACCCCACCCCCAGCTGTGCCACCTGCTAGCCCAGGCCAGTGGCTTGGGTTGACCCGTGCACTCATGCCATCTCACAAGGCTGGTCTTTGGAGGGAGCCCAGCAGGAAGTGATAGCGGGGAGCACTGGGACAGACCAGGTTAGGGGGATAGCAGCAAGGGCAGGGGTCTGGCTGAAGAAGCAGGGAGAGCCTTCCCAGGGCCCAGTTCCAGGCAGACAAGACTGTTAATGGATGACTGCCCAGCTCCCCCACTGCCTCGCCAATTCTGTCTTCCTTTTGGCTCATTCTGTGAAGAAGGCCCTCTGGAGTCGTGTCCTCTCCACTCTACTCCCCAGCCTCATTTGTATTCCTGACAGTGTGAAAGGGTCTCCTCTCGGGCCTCAGACTCTGTTTGTCTGTAGAGTTGGAAGAGCAGGACTCTGTGTGAGGGCTCGCATCAGAGCAAGCCAGCTTCTGCCTCTGCCATCTGCAGAAGCACGGCCGCCGTGCATCCTCCCCAGGTTAGAATGTGCACCCCCGGCACCCAGCTCGTCCCACCCCAATGCTTCATCCCACTGGGAATCCCACCAGGCGGTGCCACAGGGTTGCCACTGTGCCAAGTACAGTGCTGTCCAGGCTCCAGTAGCCCACTTCTGTGTCTTATGGGGTGGCCCTGTCTCCAGCATTTGTCCAAGCACACATCTGATTCCTACATGTAAGTCTGTCTGCCTTCCCTGTGGGGGACCACCTGGGGCACTCCTTGAAGGAGGGGCAGTTGTCTCCATTTTGGCTGAACCTGAATGTATTTCCATATGTCGTCATGTACGAGGTGGCTAAGACTTCCTTATCCCTTTAATTGGCTTTAACCAGTGCATATTGGTTCAGCTGGGGAGCTGATGCTAGTCTGGGTAGACAGTATCTCCTCAGAATCGCCACTGTTTTCTTCTGTGAGCCCAGACAGGTGGGGTGAAGAGCCGATACTCCATGCTGTCAGCTGGAGTGGGGCCTGGAGATAGGAGAGGCTGTGACTTCCTGGGGCTTGAAAGACTGCACCTCAGAGCTGAAGGGCCAGCCCCAAAACGTTAGGCGCTACCTCAGTTGTGCTATGCAGGTTACTCCCTCTGCACGGCCCTCTCTCTGCATCTCGCAGAGGTGGCTTCGGGCCTTCCACCCAGCCCAGCTCGCAGCCCTCACCTACTGCCTGCCAGTCTCACAGTCCCTCATCCTCAAGCCACTGCTTTCTTCAGAATTAATAAAGCCCAGGCTTGGCCAAGGGCGGAGGCCTTCGTTCCTGATAGCCATCATGGTGCCTGGACTTTGGACCCCCTGGCTCCCCATAACTACAGATGTGCCTCAGGGTCTTGATTTTCACCACGGGTTGCACTGGGAAGTGGTAGGTTGGCATTAACTCGCTAGAATTCCAGTAACTTCATGGCATTACAAATACAAGCTTCTTGGGCCCAACGGGGACCCGGCAGGGCTCTCCACACTCCCTGCTCTCCCGAGAGGGCTACGAGGGCAGGTGGTTGTTTTATTTTTCTCTCGCCAGCACCTGGGATGCTATCTGCCGACAAATGAAGGTGATAATACTTCGCATCATTTCATAGGACCTTCACCCTCACAACATTTTATAGATAAACAGCTCAGGACGCCTCGTCCAGCCTGTTGATGGATGTCAGCCCCAGAAAGCATAAACTTCTCAGCCTCTGCTGGCCATTTATCCAGGGCAGGGGTAATGGCTCACCTGTGATAATGTGGTCAGTAAACAGTGCACGTGGGCGTGGAGTTGGGCTCTGAATCCAGGCCTTTAGGTTCAAGAGTGACAGCCACCCCAAGTGTCCCCTGCTGCAGGGTACAAGCACACACACGCAGGGCCCCTTTTCTGTGCAGATGGCAGGTGTCAACCTTCCCAGTGAGCCCCAGGAGCTCGACAAGTGACCTCTAACCCCTAACACCTGCCATGGCCGGAGTTGGGGGCATGCCTGCTCTTGCTTGGCTTTTATGCGTTGGCCCCAAACTTGCCTAATCAAGCAAGTGTGCTTTTTTTTTTTTTTCCTTCTTACATATTTAGTACAGGATATACAAGGTCTCACTATGTAGATCAGACTCATATTAATTTTGTTTTCAGCCTCCAAAGTGCTGGGATTAGAGGCCTGCACCACCACACCCAGTCTCAATCACCTTCTCGGTGCCCTGGGGACAGGGCCAGCATGGCATGCAGGTGTCCTTTTCTTTTCCTGAGACAGGGTCTCACTGTATAGCCTAGACTGGCCTTAAACTTGCAGTAATCCACCTGCCTCAGCCTGCTGAGTGCTGGAATTACAGATGTGCACCACCATCTCCAGCTAGGTGTATTCTTTATGAACACAAAATTGAGAGAAAACACAAAATCTGCCTCTCATGTCCCTGTTGGATAAAAGATTCTCAAGTTGAACAAAGTCAGAACAATTCCAAACAGGCCTGTTGGCACATGTCTACAGTCGGGAGGCTGAGGCGGGATTGCCATGGGTTCAAGGCCAGCCTGGACTACACAGTGAGACTTTGTCTCTAAGTAAATACATACATACATACATACATACATACATACATACATATTACAAAATAGTGTCTTATAAGAATGGCTATTGTCAAAAAGTCAACCAATAACATGCTGGAGGGGCTGTGGCAAGAGAGGAACCCTGCTCTGCTGTTGGTAGGAGTGTAGACTGGTGCAACCACTATGGAAATCAGTGTGGAGACTCCTCAGAAAACTAGCACTGGAGGTCCCATTCATCCCAGCTATTCCCCTTCTGGGTGTCTTCCCAGAAGAATTAAAAACATCATACTGCATTGATACGGGTGCACCCATGTTTATAGCAGCACAATTTATAATATCTAAATCTTGGAAACAACCCAGATTCTCATCAACTGAGGAATGGATAAAAAGATGTCTTTTTTTATACGCAACCACAAACAAAGATAAACTGGAAACTTCGATAGGTAAATGGATGCAACCTCAGACCATACTCGTAAGTGAAATAAACCAGATGCACATGTGCAAACATTGTCCCCCTAGTGTGTGAAGCTGAAAGAATAAATAAGATCCAAAATGTACAACAGAAAGAGCCAGCCAAGTAGCTCAGCAGATAAAAGCGCCTGCAAGCAGGCGCAGGGGCTGGGGGTTCAATCCCTGAGCTCTGCAGTGGCGGCCCCACCCCTGAGGTGCACTGCGATGGCGATTGAGATTGGGTGTGGTGGCATGTGCCTGTTATCCCAGCACTTGGGAGGCAAAAACAGGAGAATCACTAGGAATCTGGTCTAGTAGTGAGACCCTGAACACCCAGTAGACCCTTCTCTAAAATACACACAAAAAATAAATGTGCAAGATACTATAAAATGGGAAGAAATTGTTCAAAACGAAAAAAATTGAGATGGCAAAAGAAGGAAACAAGGGGAAAACTATATATGTATGTTAAGGTAGTTCTACTACTAATTTAGTTCATTGAAAATAAAGGTTTGGGGGCTGGTGAGATGGCTCAGTGGTCTAAAGCACCTACTTGGAACAAGCTTGGCAAAGCACAGGGACCGCGGTTCAATCCCCCAGCACCACATGCCAGCCAGTTCCACCCCCTGGTGGGCTGAGCTGGCCACACACACACACACACACACACACACACATACACACAAATCATAAATAAATGTTTAAAAAAAAAAAAAAGAAAAGAAAGGTTTGGGGCCGGGGAGATGACTCAGTGGAATAAGCGCTTCCTTGGCAAGCACCAGGGCTTGAGTTCAATCCCTGATTCTGCCAAAAAAAATAAATAAATAAATAAAGGTTTGTCCTAGCACTGTTTGGGCAATTAAATGCCTATGTCTTGTATTGTGAGAAACTAATTGAAAGATAATAATATGCAGTGTATTAACCATTGTTACCCTATTATCTTGTTTTAAAGTTTTTGTTGTTTAAAAAAGGTAGTATTTGAAAATGTCTTGTAACATGCCTAAGAACATTTAAATCTACTTTTCCCTCCACTCCCAAATTTGGCTCCAGGACACTGCACCCCAGGCTAACCGCGCACATGCCGAGTCCCGTGTGGTATGGTCAGTCCACATAAGCTGTGCACATGCTCTTACACACTTTAAATCACCTGCACATTACCTGTAATGTCTAATGCTTGGGCTTTATGCACACAGTACATCATGGGGTCCATGTGGGAGGTAAGCCTGTAGTTTTTCAGCTAGTTAATTGGCAAATAAAAATTGTGTACCTAGGGCCAGGGAGGTGGCTCAGTGAAATAAGCGCTTCCCTGTCAAGCGTAAGGGCCTGAGTTCAATCCCCGGTTCCACCAAAAAAAAAAAAAAAAAAAAAAAAATTGTGTACCTGCTGTGCTGTGTTGCGTAGGGAATGACATCATGAAAAAGATGACATGTGCAGCACGGATACAAGTGCCAGGCGAGTGCTGCGCCTCAGGGCCGCCACCCGGCCTTTCCTCCTGGGTTTGTGGAACCCACGCGGCTGCAAAGTCCAGCTTTTCCATTTTGTTTGCTATCTCTTCCTCCAGAAAGGATCTTTTTTATTCCAAACATTATAGAATATTAAAATGTCTTTTCTTTTAGTATATATGCTGCGGAAGCAAGCACAAGATACTTTTATAAAATGATAATTACAGTTGTTTTAAGTATGTTCCCTAAATAAATGTCGGCAACCCTAGATTTGCTTTATCATCATTCATGAGATTATAGTCGGGCATCTGTGTGGACTTGAAGTTACCAAGTAAACACTGGTGGTGGGGAATGAATGGGTTTTAAATATGTCAGTTTCAATTCAATCCAATAAACAAGTTTGGGGTATCTACCCAGGTTGTTTCTTTCCTTTTGCCTTCTTTGCAAGAACCTAAACTTAGACAGGGCACATATAGAACTTAAAATTTCATAAGAACACCAAGTAGTGATGAAAGAATGCCTACCTAGAGGCAGTGACGCCATCCACCATAGCTTATACTAAGGATTCTTAAAAGTATAAGTTTTAGAACTATTTTAGCAAATATTGTCTGTGTATCTATGGTGTAAAAACCTGATGTTTTGACATATGTGTACACTAGAATTGCCAAGTCAAACTAGCTAACATGTATTTCCTCGTATTACAAGGCATTTATGATGAGAACGCTTAGAATTTTGGCCAGCAATTTTTCAACTCTACGTTGTTATTAACTAGGGTCACAGCGTTGCACAATACAGCTCCTAACTGAAAGTTTGTATCTTTCAGTCATCTGTCCGCTCTACCCCCGCCAGTCCCCACCAACCACCTTTGTACTCTTTCTGTTTGACTTTTTAAATTCCACATAAAAGTGAGAGCATATGCTGTCTTTTCATGCTTTTGGCCAAATCCTGATAATATTTAGCCAAATAGCAAGCACACGCAAAGGCCCACAGTCGGGGACACTGTGGGTCAGTGTGGCTGGCTTTCAGAGCTAAGCTTGTGGCATAAGATATGCGTGGGAGTCAGAGTACCAGGCAGTTTTTCAGAGCCAAGATGAGAGGATGGGTTGGGCTGAAACTCAGTGGTTGGGTGTCCACCTGGCAGACATAAGGCCCCTGGTTGGATCCCCAGCATGGGGCTAGGGAGCAGAGGAGACAGTCAACCAAGGCTAACAGGCAACTCCTCAGGGTGTGCTCCTGCCCCCTGCTGATACGCAGCATGGACTCATAACCAAGTATGATCTCTGGTCAGTTACATAAAATAGGAGTCTTAATAGTGCCTCGCCCAGAGAGGTTTGTGAGCATTAGTAGGATTTTGTGAGACAGGGTGCTCAGTACATATTAGCAACTCAGGAAATAGTAGCACCTTTTTCTGCTGAGTAAGACCAAAATGGACGTGATCAGAAATAATTTTGATTAGATACATGCTATAGCCTGAATTTGTATGCCCCTAAAATTTATGTTAACATCCTAACCCAAAGTGATGGTATTTCTCCTTGGGAGGAAACAGGAAGTGACAGGCAAGGCTACAAGAAAATTTCATGAGAGCAGAATCCTCATGGTGGGATTAGTGTCTTACAAAAAAGCCCCTTCGACCTCTGGTCCCTTCTATTATATGAGGTGGCCATAAGAAGCAGGCACTAGGCCAGATCTCCTGGTACCGGCAGCTTGGACTTCAGCATCCACAATGGTCAGATGCGACTCTGATGTTTAAAAGCCATGTGGTTTACGGCAGTTCAGGTGGACTAAAATCATACTGCATGTGAGTGAAGAAACGCGTAAGCATCTGTACTGCAGGGGAGGCATCGCAGCTCAGAGTGCAAGGGAAAAAGCAGGCCATAAACCCTGTGCCTAATTCACTGTGGCCCTAAACAGAGGTGGGAGCTGCTTGCAGTGATTTCTTGAGATCCTTCCAACCTGAAGGTTCCTGGAATGTTTTAGACTTGGCCTACAGGCAGGTTTCAAACACAGCAACGGTGATGTTTCCCGCCATTGAGAACCCTGGGAACAGCTCAGCTCCATGGTCCAGCCATCGAAATCTGATAAAAATAGGAGCTGAAACACCACCCTGGAGTTGCTATTTTTAAAAGCGTCTGAGATGCTGGATTGGATTGATTTCTTCCTCAAGCGGCATCTTGCTGCTCCCTCCTCCTGGTGGGCAGGATGTTAACGTGGCACATCTGAGGGACCGGAGCCAGGAGCCTGGGAGGCAACATTTGTCAAGTGGTTCCAAGGTTGCTGCCCACACCCACTGCCTGCCAGGGAGGAGCTGCAGGCCAAGGACTCCAAGGTCTAGATGCACCTGCCCAACACACCCCTCTAGTCAACTCCCTCTGCTCCCCAGGCATTTGCCCCAGCAGAGAGGTGTCCTGCAGTGTCCACCGCAGAAGAGGTAAAACGCAAGCAGGGGAAATAGGAATGGAGGTGGCATTGCTTGACTAGGATTCAAAGCTATTGTTCCTTAGGTTGTCCGGGCCAGCCCTCGCCACAGCTAGCCTCAGAGAGGAAGAATCCACAGAAACCAAAGCTCCGCTTGCCCTACCGTGTGCCTCTTGGTAAGCAGCTTATAGTATCTTGTGGATGGGCCAGAGGGGTACGGTGGCATTGGGCGGGGCTCCAGAAACCAGTGCCTGGGATAAGAACACCAAAATCCCTCTCTTGATCCACAGATGGTAGGGCTTCTAGGCAGCCAGCTAAACTGCTGTGCCCTTAGGAACTGAAGGGAAAGGTCATCAGTAAGCACCTTGTGGCCTGAGGGGAGGTCGGAATTAGCCACTTCGCTCCTGGGTAGCTAGGAACCAGGCCTGTAATGAAGTGAGGAGGGGAGAACCTGAATGCAGTTTATAGGTTCAGCTGTACACACACAGTGACTAAGTCTGCCATGGGCAAGTTAAGAGGAAGAAAGAAGATCCCTGTCTCCCAGAAAGAAAATGGCCCAAAGAGAAAATCCTGCAGTAGCCTAGCCACTGTTTTCTATACCTAGTTCCTGGTACTTCCAACCTCCACATAGTATTCAGTAAACATCTGTTGACTGAATGACAGAGTCAAAGGCACCACTCAAAAATCAAGGCAGGCTCTGGTGTGTGCTGCAAGGTGTGATTTAGGGCGGATCACAGTCACCTGTGGGAGCAGTCGGAGGCCGACTGGTTACTTTGTTCTCGCAGAGCTTGCTGGGGTAGGGGTTCTCAGCCGCAGAGCCCTCCGCTTCAGCTGAAGGGGAATCTGAGCAGCCACTTCTCAGGAAACCCTTGGACTCGCTGTCAGCTGTCAGCTACTCGTATCTTGTACTTAGTCACATCCTGTCCTGGCTCATTCTTCAAGGGAGCGCAGAGCAAGCCTTCCCTCTGCAGCTGGAATGGTAAGGTTCCTGGGGGCGGCAGGGTCTGACCCGTGCCTGGAGCCCCTTGTGCCTCAGTCCCTGGGGCTTGCACCATGAGCCCTTAGTAAACGCTGTGCGGCTTGTGAAAGAGATGTCAAAGCCGGCCCGCGAGGTCATTTCTGCGCCCTTCTGCTTGGCCAAGTCACGTCCAGCTTACTCGAAGAATGCCTTTGCCTAGGTCAACGGTGGACAGGGCTTCCCTGGAGGCCGTGTGCCAGGTGTCCTTTCTAAGAACAGAAACCAAGGCCAAAGTGCTAGCAAGCGACTTGAGCAGAGGGTGCCGTTTAGGGGTAGCAGGTCCAACCAGGGCACAAAGGCAGACCACGAACTCCCCCCACCCTTGAGCATCCTGGCTCCCCCGTGCCTCAGTTTCCCCAGTGGGAGAACGACACGGTTTGCTCCATGGGAGAGCAGAGAACCCTTTCTCGCCCTCATTGTTCCGCAAGGCGGGGAGGCCGTGCTGCTCAGACCCCGCAGGAGCCACGCTCGACCCCTACTCGAGCCCCGCACCCCTGCCGCGGTCGCCCGGCCTGCGCGCCCCGCCCCGCCGGGCCTTCCAGCCCAGCGCCCCGGCCCCGCCCCGGCTCGCCCCGCCCTTCCTCCCGCACCGCACCCCGCCCTCTTCCCCCACCCTGCGATCGGAGTCAGCTCCCCGGACGCGTGCGCAGGCGTGTGGGCTGTTTCCCGCCCCGCGCCGCCAGGCCCGGCTGTGCGCCGAGACAGGCACGGGCGGAGCGGCCCCGCGCCTAGCGGATCAGCTGCGCGCGGAACCGGCCGCCCCGCCCCGCCCCTCCCGCCGGGGTGAGTACGCAGCGCCGGGCTCGGGGATGCGGCGGGGGCGGCCCGCCCGGGGTCGCGGCACCCGGCCTGGCTGGGTCCCGCCCGCGACTTGGGGAGGAGGGGGTCCGGCCGCACATGGGCGCTGCGCCGCGCGGGGTCGGGCGGGGCGGCCGCAGACTGGAGGAGCTGCCGCTGCGCGGGGCTCCCGTCCCCGGACTAGGTTTTCGCGGGAAGCCCGATTCTCCCTGCAGCCTTGGAGTGAGCAGACGGGACAGTCCTCTTGCCGGGAAAGTTTCTACCTGCACCCCTGTGCCTGGGCTGAAGAGGCGTCCTCCAGCGTCCGCTGAGCGCTGGGCGTCCCCACAACTGTCCCCATTGAGACCAGGACATGTGGGCTGGAGGTGACAAGCTCTGCTGAGGTCTCTCTGTGCAGGAGTTGCAAGGTCGGGGAACAGAGCCCAAAGGTGGGGTTGCCAGCTGGAGGCCAGCCATGCCCAGGGCACCAGTGCCACGTCTGGGGGTCTTTGTGTGCAGACCCCCGTGTCCAGAAGTTGCCTGGGTGGTGGCCTTAGGGAAGAATGGAGTTGGGGCCGGGTGGCTGGAACACGGGGCCGATCCTGGGCTCCCCTCTCTGTTCTTCTCCCTGGGGCCTCTGCTGGCAGGGACCTCCAGCCAGCCCGAGCTGCCAACATGTCTGCCAGCACTGCCCCCTCTATTCCCGGCTCTGGCGGGAGGCTCGTCTGGGCTGTACAAGGCCTGATCCATGTTGCTACTTCCTCTGTTCCTCAGGCTGGGTCTCCAGGGCCTGGTTGAGGGGCTGCTGCCAGAAGCCTGGAAGTGTAGGCAGTGTTTGGGTGCCCTGTCTGACCTCATGGCCACCCACAGGCCGGCACCCCTTCCCTGCAAATCTGTACTTTCTAGCACTGGAAGGAAGCGCGGTGTTGAAGCCAAGTTCAGGCAGACTTACTGTTTGTGGAACCTTGGGAATGTGGGCCTGGTGCAGTCTGGGTTGTCACAAGAGGCACCAATCCGTGTCAGTGTGGCACCGTCCTCCATATCCCACCCTTTTGCCTCCCATGGGCCCCGGCCCCTGCTCCCCAGGTTTGGGATGAGTCGATTTAAGCTAAGTACTCTGAAAAGTGCAGCACTGTGGAAGAGCTATTTAAGTCTTTGCTTCTAGAAATATTTCTCCCACACCCTTAGTCTCCAGAGCTGCCCTGTGATTCTAGAGAGGTTACTTGGGAGGTCCCAACCATTCAGAGCCCAGAAATGAACTGTGGAGCTGTTTTGCTTCGCTGGGAGCAGATCTGGGAACACGTTAACACGATCCATCCTGGCTGAGGTGGCTCAGCTCCCTCTGCGCTGTTTCCTGCTCCACTTGTTTCCACTCTGAATGCTTCCTAGCCCTGCCCTTTTGTACCAGGTGGGGGTCTCAGTCCGCTTGGTGGGATCTGGATTTTACCAGGAAGTTGAAGGGGAGGTGGGAGCCAGGGCCAGCTCCTTTAGACTGCGAGGTAACGGTGGAGGTTACGAGTGGAATGAGAGGAAAGAAGATGTGAAAGCCATTGAAGGGCTGGAGGTGTGTCCCATGGGTACAGCACTTGCCTGGCATGCTAGAGGTCCGAAGTTTGGATGTCCAGCACAGGGCTGGGGGTGTCAGGTAGGAGTCACCTCCTTGACCTCCTGGGCTGAGAAGCTTGGTTACTTTTGGGAGCGAGGTGCTGCTAAGAGGCAAGAGGAACTCCTTCCCCACAAGTGGTGGGGCGGGCCAGGCCAAGGAACCCCCTGGCATCTTGCGCACTGTCTTCCCTGAAGCAGTGACTCAGCCCCCTCTGCTCAGAAGCAGAGGCCTTGCCACTTCTGCTTCCCAGCTTTTTTAGACTCATGGGATTTCGCTTTCTGGGCAGAACTAAGAATCTGCTCTTTTCTGGAACTGTGAGAGAGCCTGGAGAGCCCCTCCCTCTCCAGCCAGGGAGGAACAGAGAGTCTTGTGGCTGTGGCCATCCTACCACCACCCCAACCCTGCCTGACATCTGCCCTTGCCTCGGGGCCGCCCCAGCCCTCTGGGTGTCTCCTCAGAGCAGCTGCTCAGGTGCTGCCCAATGACGTTGGGCCCAGCTCCTCTCAGAGTGCTCCAGGTTTGTGCTGTCCTTTGAAGGGGTAAGGCCCTACTTCAGACTAACATGGAGCAGTTGCAGGCCACCAGGTTCCAGGGCTGACAGGGAGAGGAGAGGACCTTGGTGGATGGGAAGCAGGACAGGGATGTAGGTGACGGTCCCTTTGGGGTGTGCTGGTGGGCATCAGATGTCACAGGGCATGGCAGATGATTGGGAGGGCCTGCCACCGAGCTCTCAGCACCTGCTCTCCTCCCTGACTTCCCACTTGGTGTCCTGTGACACATTCTCTGCATCAGCAGGCTGCGGCCTAGCTCCTGTGTCTCATCCCCTGGGCCCCCAGGATCCTTTTTCTTGTCAGGAGCAGGGCCTTGACCCCAAGTGCTTGCTTGTTGTGAGGCAGTGGCAGCTCAGATTTGAGTGACCACAGTCTTTAGTCCACCTCTGTCCTCCATCACCTCAAAGTGCCTCTGCAGGTGGGTCCTGAGCAGCCCCTAGCTGGACTCTTGGCAGTCCTGGTCTCTGCACTTCCCCTAACCCCACCACCCTCTGGGATACACTCAAGGAAAGTGGCCCAATGGCAGCAGCCTCAGCTAGGTGACACAGCTTCTGGCAAAAACCCAGGAGTTGCATTGGGAGGTTCCCTTCCATGTTGTACAGAGGTGCAGGTCTCTCACCTGAGGCTGCAGCCCATCTCTGCCTGCCCCATGCTGCAGAGGCGGAAGCCCTGGGTTCTGCCTTTGACCCAGCAGCGAGGAGATTGCTGCTCCTCACACGGAGGTTCGGGTCATGCTAAAGCCTCAGTTTCCCACATGGACCCTGGTGGAGAGGAAGGCTGGGCTGCAGAAGCCAGGAGCAGCTGGAGCAGTAGGGTGGATCATTCTTGCCTTCTACCTGCAGCTTCTGTCGGACCTGGGCTGGGGTGTGGGACTCTAGGATCTTGCTTTCTGTTTTGTGGGGAGGCAGCTAGAGGAGTTCAGGTACCAGCTGGGAGAGGGCTAGGCCAACAGGCATTTGTTTTTCCCTGTTGGGCCCAGACCTTCCTCCAGGGTGCAGGCTGTGACTATGTCACCTGTGCCTGATCCCTTCACTGTGGCAGCTTAAAAGTCATAATGAAATGGGACTTAGAAAACATCAAAAAGGGTTACCATGTATCACACAGCACTTACTAGAAGCCCAGCGTAACAGATTTTTTTTTTTAATGTGCTAGGCACTTAGGTCCATCCTTTCACGTTAGCCTCATACCTTAAGCCCATTTGTAATGAAGAAGTGGAGGCTGAGAAGATTAAACCACTGAGGTGAGCTCACACATCTCTTAAGCAGCCAAACAGGGACTCAGACCCCAGCCTTTTTCCAAAACCTGCATTTTTCAGTCTGGTTCAGTCTGGTGCCCCTGAACTGGACCTTATCCTACCTGTCTGGTCTGTGATCATACAAGGAAGGGCCCTGGACTTGAAGGTGTGAAGGGTTTTGCTCAACGGAAAAGCAGAACACAGATTCTGGGTGGGAACTGATGTCCATGCCCTGCCCACACCCTGAACTCACACAAGGAGGACAGGCCAGGGTTCCCTCCTCACTCCCTCCTTCCCCCAACCCTGTGTCCCTCCAGCTTGCGGTCCCTCCCAGCCCCCACCTCGCGCTTTCCCGCCTGTAATTGCTTCCATCTGCCTGCCTGCCTGCCTGCCTGCCTGCCGGCTCCTATTCCTCTGGAAAGGCGCTGGGCCGCCCACAGGGCTGCAAGGCCTCATCCGGCAACCACAGCTACACGTGGGGAAGGGGAGGGGCCCAAGGGGACC